GTGACGAAGTGACTGGATGATTGATAGTGACTGAGAGCCTCGCTCTCCTCAACTCTGAAACAGAGAGGGGAATGTTGCATCTTCAAGAGCATCAGCTTGACTACAGGATTTGGTGAAAAGAAGATTTTTTTTAAATTACGTGTTTATTTTGTATTTAATCACAGGCCTATTATTGGAGAGAATGTAAATGAGCATAACTTTTAGATTAAGATTTTAAAGGAGATTCCTGGCATAGAGTAATTTATTTCCTTCTGCCCCAGATTCCGATGAGTGGCCATTACTTATTTCTTAGGGATTTTGAGGAGGAAGGGGGAGAAAATTTGAGAAGACTTAGATTAAGAAAAAATAAAAGCCATATGGCTAGATCAGACAATCCAGGATTAGGGAGTCAGATATCTTGGGTTTTAGATCAGTCACTTTTTTCCCTTTATTAAAGCAGGGCAAGAAACGTGAGACCCAAAGCACAAGTTCATACTCCATCATTTAAATTTAACATCACAGGGTTTTATTCTTGCCTTCTATACTCATGCTTGTTTTCTCTAACAGAAATCTTGTTTCCTATCAATATCAACATATTTATTAAGTTATTAATATTTATGTATTTATATTAATATTAATGTGTTAGTTGTTATAAAACTAATTTAAAATTGTAACAACAATGCTAGTAAATGAAATTTTAGATTGCAGTTCTTTTAGAGCAGTTACATCCTGCAGGCCACATATGTCCTGCTACCAGTTGTTGTACAACTAAGGAAATAAGAATGATTCGTATATATATGTGTGTGTGTGTATATATATATATATATATATATATTTTTTTTTTTTTTTTTTTTTTTTTTTTGAGACAGAGTCTTGCTCTGTTGCCCAAGTTGAAGTGCGGTGGTGCAATCTTGGCTCACTGCAGCCTCTGACTCCCGGGTTCCAGCAATTCTCCTGCCTCAGCTTCCCAAGTAGCTGGGATTACAGGCATGTGCCACCATCTCCAGCTAATTTTTGTATTTTTAGTAGAGATGGGGTTTCACCATGTTGGCCAGGATGGTCTTGATCTCTTAACCTCATGACCTGCCCACCTGAGCCTCCCAAAGTGCTGGTATTATAGGCGTGAGCCACCACGCCTGGCCTTTTTTTTTTTTTTTTTTTTTTTGAGGCAGGGTCTCGTTCTGTCACTCAGGCCAGAATGCAGTGGCCAGTCATAACTCACTGCAATCTCAGTCTCACAAGCTCAAGCCAGCCTCCTGCCTCAGCCTTCTGAATATGTGAGACTACAGGCATAAGCCATCACACCTGGCCTAATTATTTTTTTAAACTTGGGAAAAAACATATATACTTCGCTCCCACAGAGTATGGTTTAGACTCCTGCCCCATACACTTTCTAAGTAAAGTAAAACAAAAAAGTGGTGAAGTAAAGCAAAAACAAAAAAGCCACTAATACGGTTTGGTTCTGTGTCCCCACTTAAATCTCATCTCAAATTGTAATCCCCATAATCCCCCATGTTGAGGGAGGGACTTGGTGGGAGGTGATTGGTTCCTGGGGGCAGTTTCCCCCATGCTGCTGTTTTTGTGATAGTAAATTCTCACCAGATCTGATGATCTTATAAGTGTTTGACAGTTCCTCCTTTCTCTCTCTCTTTCTCTCTCTCTCTCTCTCTCTTGCTGCCATGTAAGATGTGCTTGCTTCCCCTTCCGCCATGATTGTAAGTTTCCTGAGGCCTCCCTAACTATGAGAAACTGAGTCAGTTAAACCTCTTTTCTTTATAAATTACACAGTCATGGGCAGTTCTTTACAGCAGTGTGAAAACGAACTAATACACCCACATATTTATTAAGTTGCTTTCCATTCCTTACTTCCTCCAGCCATGGCAACCACTAATCTGCTTTCTGTCTCTATGGATTTGCCTGTTCTAGATACTTTATATAAATGGAATCATACAATATGTACCCTTTTATGGCTGGCTCCTTTCACTTAGCATAATGGTTTGAATATTCATTCATGCTGTTTATTTCTTTTTCTAGCTGAATACCATTCCACTGTATGAATGTACTACATTTTGTTGATCCATCAATAGACCGACATGCATTGTTTCTACCTTTTGGCTATTGTGATACTGCTGCCATAAACTTTGTATACAAGTTTTATGGCATGAAGGCCAGCCATTGGTGGGGTAATATTATAACAGAACTTATCAATAAATGCCGAGTTTCCTTTGAAGTTAGTCTCTGATTTATTACAGTGCTTGATGTCTGCCTTGCCTGCTAGTGACCAAAACATATATATACATTTCTTGTGTCTTTACAGAGCTTTGTCACTCACTCAATGTAAATAAAGACAGTGGTGGAAACAAAGTTTCCCAAAGTATCCCTATGTGTAAAAGTGTTTCTCATTACTTTGGAAATACTGAGCTGAATTTAATGTTTATTCTTTTTCTACCAACAGACACAAAAAGGACAATTAAGTACATTCCTTAGAATGTTCAATAACATTTTCTACAGTGATATGGTTAAACACTCTTCTGTCTTCACCTTGTTTGAACATTTATTTTCAATTATTTTAGGTATATACTCAATATATATAAGTGGGCCAGGTGTGGTGGTTCACACTTGTAATCCCAGCCCTTTTTGAGGCTGAGGTGGGCAGATCACTTGAGGCCAGGATTTGAAGACCAGCCTGGCCAACACGGTGAAACTCTGTTTCTACTAAAAGTACAAAATTTAGATGGGCGTGGTGGTGTGCACCTGTAGTCCTGGCTACATGGGAGGCTGAGGCACGAGAATCCCTTAAGAAAAGGAGGTTGCAGTAAGGGAAGGTTGCACTTCATCCTGGGCAACAGTGCCAGAGTTTGTCTTTTTAAAAAGTCTTTAAAAAAACATATATGTGTGTGGCCGGACACAGTGGCTCATGCCTGTAATGCCAGCACTTTGGGAGGCCAAGGCGGGAGGATCACAAGGTCAGGAGTTCGAGACCCACCTGCCAATATGGGAAAACCAGATCTCTACTAAAAATACAAAAATAAGCTGGGCGTGGTGGCGGGCGCCTGTAATCCTAGCTACTTGGGAGGCCAAGGCAGGAGAATTGCTTAAATCCTAGAGGTGGAGGTTGCAGTGAGTTAAGATTGTGCCATTGCACTCCAGTCTGGGTGACAAGAGCAAGGCTCTGTCTCCAAAAAATGTATATATACATTTTTCTTTACACACACACACACACTTTGACCAAAGTGCATAACATGTATCAGTAGTTTGTTCTGCAACAAACTACATCTCCTGCAATAAATATATAATTTATATATATATATATAATTACCAAAGTGCTGGGATTACAGGCCTGAGCCATCATACCTGGCCAATAATTTTTTTGAAAAAGGAAAAATAAGTGCTTGTGAGAATATAGTGAAATCTGAACTATCATACATTGTTTATGGAAATGTAAAATGCTGTAGCTGCTGTGGGAAAAGTTTGGTATTTACTCAATAAATTAAATGTAAAATTATAAGAATTTTACATATATATTCTTTGTGTGTGTGTGTGTGTGTATATATATATATATATTAGGCTAGGTATAATAATTTTTTTTTTTCCAAGACAGAGTATTGCTCTGTTGCCCAGACTGGAGTGCAGTGGCATGATCTCGGCTCACTACAACCTCCACCTCTTGGGTTCAAGCTATTCTCCTGCCTCAGCCTCCTGAGTAGCTGGGATTACAGGCATGCACCACTATGCCCAGCTATTTTGTATCTTTAATAAAGATGGGGTTTCTCCATGTTGGTCAGGCTGGTCTGAAACTCCTGACCTCAGGTGACCCACCCGCCTCAGGTTCCCAAAGTGCTGAGATTACAGGTATGAGCCACCGTGCCCAGCCTATTTATAATTTCTGCATGGTTTTTTTTTTTTTTGGTGGATACATAGAAATGCATTTGGCATTTTTATTACCCTTATATCTATTATCTTATTATTTCTAACATTTGTAGATTGGTGTTTTTTGCAGTGAAGGTCATATTTATTAAATAATGACAGTTTTATTTCTTTCCTATCAATCTGGATATCTCTGATCTCTTTGTTTTATCTTATTGCACTGGTTTGGACCTCCAATACTATATGAAATAGAAGTAGCAATAATGAGCATCCTGGTCTCAAGATAATCCTTGTCTTATTTCTGATTTTAGGTTCTGTAGACTCCCCATTTAGGTAGATTCTTGCAATCAGGCTTTGAAAACATTTTTTTTTAATTTCAAACATTAAAAATAATGATTTTTTTTTTTTTTTTTTTTAAGATGAAGTCTCGCTCTGTTACCCAGGCTGGAGTGCAGTAACAGTCTCGTCTTGCTGCAACCTCTGCCTCCCGGATTAAAGTGATTCTTCAGCCTCAGCCTCAGCCTCAGTGAGATAGGTATGTCACCTTCATCTGCAGATTATAGAACTATAAAGCCCTAAAGAATCTATCACCTTATAAGCAGAACCCTAATGGATTACATTTTCAGATATTACTAGCATATTTTAAGTATTGTGAGACATTACAGTAGATGGTGTTATTATTAAATATTAGAGGGTAAGGAGGATGAAGAGTTATAAAAGAAACCTCAAGACATGTGTTAATGAATATCCACTCAATGTCAATTGTTTATTCATTTGGTATACTCTAAACTGAATAAAATTTGAAACATAATCCTAATGTGTTTTTTCCTTTTGAGATGGAGTCTTGCTCTGTCACCCAGGCTGGAATGCAGTGGTGTGATCTCGGCTCACTGCAACCACTGCCTCCGGGGTTCAAGCGATTCTCCTACCTCAGCCTCCCAAGTAAAATTATGGGCACAAACCACCATGCCTGGCTAATTTTTGTATTTTTAGTAGAGAAGGGTTTTGGCATGTTTGCCAGGTTGGTCTTGAACTCCTGACCTCAGATATCCACTTGCCTCGGCCTTCCAAAGTGTTAGGATTACAGGTATGAGCCACCTCAACTGGCCAGCCTAATGTGTTTTCATTGGAAAATGAATAAAATAATTCAAAAATTCTCATGAAGAAACATGTCTTTATTTCCAAGTAATAAACTATATATTAATAATATATACATAGATTTTTATTTCCAAGTTACAAAAGCTGCTGAAAAGTGTCAAGGATTGCTAGAATATGGAGAACAGAAATAGATGTGAGTATGTGAGCATTTAATATACAATTGACAGTATTTTAATTCAGTAGGAGAAAGGTGAATAATAATTACTTCTGGCATAATTGGTTTTATTCCTGGATAGAAACAAGTCTGACATCCTGCATTATTTCATATACAGTAATCAATACCTAATGTATTAAAATATTATATCTCTGTGTATACACACTAACAGAATCACATATGTGAAAAACTGCACTCTATTCCTTTATTCTCTTGCCCCCTGAAATTTTCTAGAAGCACAACCTTCTAAAGAAACATACAAAACAGTGGAAATGACTTGGGAAACTTATTTTATAGAAATAGAATAAGGATACAAGAGTGTTTACTCAGCACTTGGCAAAAAAGAGCAAACAATCTGTAATATCACAATTGGGAAAATGGTTGAAAAGGCATTGGTACAAGAATACTGTGGAACATACTGTAACCGTCAGAAAGATTGTTAGATAATCATCCATTGGCTTGAAGGAAAATCCAAAATGTACAGTTGAATGTAAAAAAGCAAATTTAAGGGAAATATATAGTTATCATCTACTTCTTTTTGTAAAAACATAATAAAAAAATAACTGTGTTAATGTTTTAGCATGGAGAAGTACATGGGTAATATACACAACCTTTAAACATTATTCAGAAGAAAATGGACACAGGAAGGAATGAGGAACGGAGAAGGACAAAACTAATCATTTTTTTCCTTAGTGGTACTGTTTCATGAATTTAGATGCAAATACATTATTTTTGTAATTTTAGATGAGGAACTTTCTAAAAGACATAAGCACAGAAGAAAAGAATATAAACAAAATTTCATTTGGTTGTTCTCATTTTGATAATGCAAAACATTAGAATAGTCCATCTTTGTTAATTCTCTCATTTGCAGGTATTTTGCTCATTCTACCTTTCTCAATTTTATTATGAAATATTTTACTTCCTTATGCCTGTAAAAAGCAAAGTAACACAATGTTCAGAGAGACCCCTCTACACAGGATCTAAGAAAAAAGGAAGTGGGGCATAAAATAACAGATCTACAGACATAAACTTCATCCTCCCACACATGTAATCTGTCCAGTGTGGGGAGCTGTTTGCTGAGCATTTTCTGAGCACAGGGAGGGCCCATTTTAAAACACTAACCTAACCCCAAACAAAGCCAATCTTTGGGCTTTTTTGTTTCGTTTTGTTTTTTTTTGAGACAGAGTCTTACCATGTCGCCCAGGTTGAAGTGCCATGGCACGATCTTGGCTCGCTGCAACCTCTGCCTCCTGAAAATTAGCTGGGCATGGTGGCATGCACCTGTAATCCCAGCTACTCGGGCGGCTGAGGCAGGACAATTGCTTGAACCAGCAGCCAGGAGGCAGAGGTTGCAGTGAGCCAAGATCATGCCACTGTATGCTAGCCTTGGCTACAGTGAGAATCCATCTTAAAAAAAAAAATTCTAATTTTCTTGGAGTCAATATTGATGTCTATTTTTCCTTTAAAATCATTTTGTTTAAATTTTCAAACATCAGAAAAAAACATTATATTCAACAGAAACTTTTAAATCTGTAACTGTTTTTATCTCTGTCCATTTTTAAAATATGATGCCCTTTCTCTTTTCATACTTTTTTTCCTCATAAGTGCACCAATATTTTATGTTTTATGTTTCACTGGGTATAAAATGTGGCAGAAAGTTATCAGTCAGAATAAAATTCATCACACACATTATTCACAATACTTTCCCCACCAACACCTAGGCTTATTTCATGTTCAATAGGAAGTACATGATGATGGGAAATGTTCTTAACTTGTTACCTTCAAAGGGTCTTTCTTCAGTCAAATACCCTGCCTAACGGTGACTAAGTTCTGTAGAAGTTAAAAAGCCTTTCTACAAATAATAATACTGATGATGATGAATACAATAATGATGACTAACATTCAGTGGGTATGTATTTATTATGTCAGGCACAATTCTAAGCACTTTATGTGTTTTAATCAGTCCTCACAAAGCATTATGAGGTAGGTATTATAATTACCCCCCATTTTATAATTTTTACTGAGACACACGTGCATATAAACAGAAAAATGATGAGAATAAATAATAAACTGATAAAGACTATTTTTTGGGAATGGAATGGATACAAGGATGATGGTCAAAGGGTACCTTTTTGTAATGCCTGCATCTTTTATAAGAAAAATATATTCACATATTATTTCTGCAATTAAAAGACATGATACGGCCAGGTGCAGTGGCTCATGCCTCTAATCCCAGTACTTTTGGAGGATGAGGCGGGTGGATCACAAGGTTTGGAGTTCAAGACCAACCTGGCCAAGATGGTGAAACCCTGTCTCTACTAAAAATACAAAAATTAGCTGGGTGTGGTGGCGGGCACCTGTAATCCCAGCTACTCAGGAGGCTGAGGCAGAAGAATTGCATGAACCCGGGAGGCAGAGGCTGCAGGGAGCCAAGATTGCACCACTGCACTCTAGCCTGGACAACAAAGCAAGACTCCATCTCAAAAAAGGAAAAAACAAAAAACAAGACATGATACAAAGATGTGCTAAGGGAGAATACCCATCAGGGACTTGTATTTTGGCATGTATTATGGCAAAATATCTAGAGAAGACTATAATATCCACCAATAGGATTTTATAAGTGATATTACAGTAACAAACAAAATACCATGAAGATATTAAAGGATCTCTATTGAGTGAAATGCTGTTCATGAACATTTTTACAATAAGGAAGACTTAATGTTATAAAGAGCAAAAAGAATAAGCCATCTTCAAAAATAGAGGTCATTTCTCCCAGGTACTATTTTAAAATATTAAAAATATTTTACAAATCAGGATGTAAACAGATGAAATTTACAGCCATGTAAATTTAAGATGGATTAAAATACTAATAATGTAAAAATTAGACAAATTAGGGGAAAAAAATGAAAATCACAGGACTATATTTCCACATAAATTCTCTGATGTTTAAGCTTAGAAAGGTGTTTAAAATGCTGTCCTTTTCAGCACAACAGACTGAACTATTTATCATATTGTCAGACTGAATTATCTGATGTCAAGAGAAGTGAGCATTTAGTTAAGGATTTCCAAAGTATATTCTATCATAGGGTGTTTCTCCAACATTATCTTTCCCAGGCTGAATAAGCTATAGTCTGCAAATAAAATGCTTCTACATTATCCTGAATTATTTTTTTTGAGAGGGAGTTTTGCTCATTGCCAAGGCTGGAGTGCAATGGTGCAATTGTGGCTCACCACAACCTCTGCCTCCTCGGTTCAAGCGATTCTCTTGCCTCGGCCTCCCAAGTTGCTGAGATTACAGGCATGTGCCATTACACCTGGCTAATTTTTTTTATATTTTTAGTAGAGATGGGGTTTCTCCGTGTTGGTCAGGCTGGTCTCTAACTCCCGACCTCAGGTGATCTGTCCTCCTTGGCCTCCCAAAGTGCTGGGATTACAGATGTGAGCCACTCTACCCAGCCTAGAGGAATTATTAAGCAGACAAATTCTATTTCGAGCCATAATTAAAAGCCTCCCTATCTATACATTTCATATATTCTGGTTTATCACCAGTACAAATTTTGATGCTGAATAAGTTGTGGACCATAATTAAAGTTCTTTTCACATTCCCTATATTCATAGGGTTTCTCACTAGTATGAATTCTATGATGACTAATAAGCTGTGAACTCTGAGAATAGGCCTTCCCACATATCTTACATTCATAGGGTTTCTCACCAGTATGAATTCTCTGATGTCTAGTAAGGTCTGAGCCAGAACGAAAAGCCTTTTCACATTCCTTACATTCATAGGGTTTCTCACCTGTATGGATTCTTTGATGTTTAATAAGTTGTGAGCTCTGACTAAAGGCATTGCCACATTCTTTACATTCATAGGGTTTCTCCCCAGTATGAATTCTCTGATGCTGAGTAAAATTTGAACCACTACTAAAGGCCTTCCCGCATTCTTTGCATTCATAAGGCTTCTCACCTGTGTGAATTCTCTGATGTCGAGTGAAGTTTGAACCACTACTAAAGGCCTTCCCACATTCCTTACATTCATAGGGTTTCTCACCAGTGTGAATTCTGTGATGTCGAGTAAGGTCTGAGCCACAAATAAAGGTTTTTCCACATTCCTTACATTCAAAGGGTTTCTTGCCAGTATGAATTTTCTGATGATGAGCAAGTCTTGAGGGATGTCTAAAGGACTTTCCACATTCCTTACATTCATAGGGCTTCTCAATGGTATGAATTATCTCATGTGTAGCAAATTGTGAACCATGTCTAAAGGTTTTTCTGTATTCTTTAGAGGCACAGAATTTCTCTTTACTATTAATGATTTGCTGTAATGTAAAGGATGGATGTTTCCTCAAAGTGGGCAGATCTTCGTGAGTGAATATCAATTGATTGAAATGTCCCTCCTGAGAGCCAAGTTGTTTCTCAAACTGGATATTACATTCCCAATCATCTCTGAACCTAGAGCACTGAAAATCATGTCTTGTCAGTTTTTCCATTATTTGCCAGTGGGTTGATTCTATTTCATAAATTTCTTTCTTCAGAAATAATTTCTTGGTCTCACATCTTGATTCCAGGACTGAAAGAAAATATGAAAACAATCACTCATGTTTTTATATGTGAGAAACAAAACTTCAGTCAATATGGGAGAATTTAACTGAACTGTTTTTTACAAATGTATGAGGAAAAAAGAGAGAAATCAGATTACATCATAAGATGAGGGGAGTGATTAGGAAAACAAAGTAAGTCACAGGTTCCCAAACATTACTATAGGTCAGAATTCCTTTGGGAAGCTTGCTAAACATACACATCATGCCTTAGTCATATCCCCTTGTTAAAGGATGACTAATCATACCCACGTGCAATATCTCATTGCATATACACACAAACGCCTAACAGCATCCCACAGTATGAATTGTAAAATAAGGAAAATGGCCAGGTGTGGTGGCTCACGCCCGTAATCCCAACACCTTGAGAGGGTGAGACAGGCAGATCACTTGAGGTCAGGAGTTTGAGATCAGCCAGGCCAACATGGTGAAACCTGTCTCTACTAAAAATACAGAAATTAGGCATGGTGGCATGCACCTGTAATCCTAGCTACCGGGAAGGCTGAGGCAAGAGAACTGCTTGAACCTGGGAGGCAGAGGTTGCAATGAGTCAAGACTGCACCACTGTATTCCAGCCTGGGCGACAGAGTGAGATCTTGTCTCAATAAATAAATGAATGAATGAATGAATGAATGATCACACTATTAACAAGGCTATTGTCAGGATGAAATGAATATGCTTAATGGAAAATCCCCAGGGATTGGTAAACTATGGCCTATGGCCCTGGACCCATTTTTACAAATGAAGTTTTATTAGCCACACTTGTTACATATTATCTATGGATGCTTTTGCGCTAAAAGGGCAGAAGTGAGTAGTTATGATAGAGAATGTGTGAACTGCAAACCTAAAATACTTACTATTTGGCCCTTCAAGGAAAAGTTCGCTAGCCCCTGGTTAGATATGCATTGTCTAATAGAGTAGTCACTAGCCATGTATGGCTTTTAAAATTTCAAATAATTTAAATAAAATGTGCATTTTATTTTGAAATAGTTGAATTTGAAAATTCAGTTTCTCAGTCACACTATTCATGTTTCCAATTTTCACCAGCCAAATGTAGCTAGTGGCTTTTGTACTGAAAGTGTATACTGGACATCACAAATATAGAATATTTCCATCACCATTGAATGTTCTCTTGATAGCCCCGCTCTGGATTCTGTAACTGGACAGCCAGAGCTCTTTAAAAAATGATAAGGAACTACAGGGTGGCAATCCAGATAAAAAGCCTAGCTTAAGAAAAGTCCATTGTGGAATGAACACAGTATGAGCAGTAGATAGGACTCATTTGTGGACAGATAAGGTACATGTTTGGAGTCTGATGAAAATAGCATTTGTCTTGGAATTCTGAAATGCTGACCTTTGTTAAAGAGGGGGCTTAACAAGTACATGAGCACTATAGTAGTGATGAATGACTGGCAGAAAAGACACGTGTAGGTTCAAGAGAAGGAGAGAGAGTAAAATGGAAGGCAATGTATTGTACTGACAGATCAAAGATACTAGATTCAGTTACATGTGTTTTATACTCAAACTTGAATAATTATAAGCTTTATTTTCTTGGGCAAATTAGTTCAATTTTCCAAACCTGCCATTCTCTGTCTAATACTACAGGAAAGATAACCCTTAAGACTATTGTGAGGATTGGGATTAATGTTTGTAAGTACTATGGAAGGATTTCCATACATAAGCAGGGACGTTAGGCAAGTGTAGTGTTTTGAAGTGTTATGGGCCCAGAGTAACTGGGATTACAGGTGCACGACACCAGGCCCAGCCTATTTTGGTGTTTTTAGTAGAGATGGGGCTTTGCCATGTTGGCCAGGCAGGTCTTGAACTCCTAACCTCAGGTGATCCACCTGCCTCGGCTTCCCAAAGTGCTGGGACTACAGGGTGGGCCACTGCGCCTGACCCCCTGACTTATATGAAAAAATGGAAAAAAAAAAAAGGGCAGGGAGAGTAACTAGAAGACTTGAAAGTCACTGACTCTTAGACAAGGAAATGGAGGGGTAAGGAAGGTATAGCTTTGTAAACTATTATAACATACACGTAGGCCAGGTGTGGCGGCTGAAAGACACAGGTATTAAAAATAAGTAAACCTACAGTCATTTACTAATAGATACACAATATATAAAAGATGTATATTGTAACACCAATAACATAACGTGGGTGGAGAAGTTAAAGTGTAGACTTTTTATATGTGGTCAAAGTTAAGCTATTATTATTATTGAGAGACAGGGTCTTGCTCTGTAGCCCAGGCCAGAGTGCTCACTGTAGCCTCACCTCTTGGGCTCATAGGATCCTCCTACCTCAACCTCCTGAGAAGCTAGAAATACAGGTGTGTGTTCCCACACCTGGTTAATTTTTTTTTTTTTGAGACAGAGTCTTGCTCTGTCACACAGGCTGGAGTGCAGTGGTGCAATCTCAGCTTACTGCAACCTCCACCTCCCGGGTTCAAGCGATTCTCCTGCCTCAGCCTCCCAAGTAGCTGGGATTACAGGTGCCCGCCCCCATGTCCAGCTAATTTTTTGTATTTTTAGTAGAGACAAGGTTTCACCATGTTGGCCAGGTTGGTTTCAAACTCCTGAGCTCAAGTGATCCTTAAATATTTTGGTAGAGACAGGGTCTCAGTATGTTGCCCAGGCTGGTCTCAAACTCCTGGACTCAAGCGATCTTCCCGCCTCAGCCTCCCAAAGTGCTGGGAATATAGGTGTGAGCCACCATACCCAGCCTAAAATTATTATTATCTTACAATAGACTGTTATAACAATGAGATGTTTTATGTAAGCCTTACGGTAACCACAAAGAAAAAGTCTCTAGTATATAACACTGAAGACAAAGAGAAACATCAAATCATATCACCATAAAAAAATCAAATCAGAAAGAAAGAGTGAGATAGCAACAAAGAAACTATAAATTTGTCAAGATTAGCTTGGCAGAGTGGTTCACGGGTATAGCCTCAGTTACTTGAGAGGCTGAGGCAGAAGATTGCTTGAGTCCAAGAGTTCAAAACAGCAGTGAGTTATGATCGTGCCACTATACTCTAGTCCCAGTAATAAAGGTAGACCTCATCTCTAAAACAACAAAGAATCATAAGTGACTATGAATAATGATATGCCAACAAATTGGATAAACTAGAAAAAAATGGATAAATTCCTAGAAACATGAAACTACCAAGACTGAATCATGAAGAAAGAGAAAAATCTGTACAGAGCAATTATGAGTCAGATAGTTCAATCAGTAATCATAAACCTCCTAATAAAGAAAAGATGAAGATTTGATGGCTTCACTAGTAAATTCTATCAAACACTTAAAGAAGAATTAACTCTCTTGGGCTTGGTGGCTCACGCCTGTAATCTCAGCACTTTGGGAAGCCAAGGCAGGTGAATCACGAGGTCAGGAGTTTGCAACTATCCTGCCCAACATGGTGAAACCCCATCTCTACTAAAAATACAAAAAATTAGTTGGGCTTAGTAGTGGGCACCTGTAATCCCGGCTATTCAGGAGTCTGAGGCAGAGAACTGCTTGAACCGAGGAGGTGGAAGTTGCAGTGAGCTGAGATTGCACCACTGCACTCCAGCCTGGACAAGAGAGCAAGACTCTGTCACAAAAATAAATAATAAAATAAAATAAATCCTATGGAGATGGTTGATACTTTTGTTTGAACAGGTATTGACCCTGTTAGGTTCAGGCTGCAAGTTCCAACGTCAGTTTCGTTTTCAAGGGCTTTGCAGTGTTACTTGGATTTGTCCTGTGTGTGCACCACCCAGTCCAATCTAAAACTTAAACTTTAGTCTTTGATATGTTATTTATGGACAGATCCACATATATTCAGGTCAAAAGAGCCTAGGAGTTCATAAAAACTGAGATTTTTTTTTTTTTACTTTGGAATTTTTGAACTTGAACATGGATTGCTTTTTTGAACTTGTTTCTTGCTGTGATCTTCTTGATACTTTCTTGTTCCCTGGAGCTACCCTATTCAGTTCTCTTGTCATAACCCTGGGGCTTAAGTTACCTCCCTCTGCTTTGTACTTTCTATAACTATGGCTGGGTGTGGCAGGAGGAAAAAAAGTAATGGGGGTTCACTCCACAGCAGCTCTAATAAGGAAAGAAGGTTCCTATCCCTTGTAGTTTTAGATACCTGCAGGCCCCCACTGCTTCCACTGCTGCTGCTGCTATTGCTGTGAGACTGTCTGGAGGCTGTGACATGGAAAAACAGGCCGGAAAACATATACATATATTTGTATGTATGCATAAACACTCAGAAGCAAGAGATTGCCCTAATTTCTCTTGGTGTTAAGAATACCATTTCCTGTTTTTTCTGCCAAAACTAGAAGGCTTTTCCTAGGCCAGGCCCGGTAATCTCAGCACTTTGGGAGGCCAAGATGGGAGGACTGCTTGAGCCCCGGAGTTCAAAATCAGCCTAGACAACATAGGAAGACTTTGTTTTTATCAAAATTTTAAAAATTAGCTGGGCATAGTGGCACACACCTGCTGTTTCAGCTACTCGGGGGCTGAGGTAGGAGAATCGCTTGGGCCCAGGAGGTCCAGACTGCAGTGAGTTGGTCACTACAATCCAGCTGGAATTATCTCGGTCTATACCCTATGCAATAAACAAGTTAACTGCATTTGTAGACCCCTAAAAACATATAGAAAATACCTAGAAATAAAATATCAAAAGAACTATAAGCCCTTTTTTGGGATAAGTTTGTAAAAATATATTGAAATACCATCAAGAAGGCCTAAATAATTGGAGAAAAGTACTGTGATATGGCTAACATGATAACGAAGATATCAGTTACTACTAAAGTGATCTACAAATTCAATGTAATTTTTTTTTTTTTTTTTGAGATAGTCTCACTCTGTTACCCAGGCTGGAGTGCAGTGGCATGATCTTGTCTCACTGCAACCTCTGCCTCCCAGGTTCAAGCGATTCTTGTGCCTCAGCCGTCTGAGTAGCTGGATTACAGTTGTGCACCACCAT